CCTCCAACTGTCATGAAAACATACCAAACTATGTGTTTTGTGTACCCATGATTTAGGAATATAAGATGTATATTCCTTTTGGCTTTCTCCTCTGTGATTTAGAATTAGATCTGAAAATACGAGATTTTGTCTCTCTGAATACTAGTCCAGGGGATTAATTCTGTTCCCAGGTATACATTAATTATCCTTAATCACTTACAAAGCCAACCATAAATGCAAAGATTTGTAGAAAACATTTTTAGACTTTTTTTAAATTTGAAAAATCTACATCTAAAATGTTTTAAATCTAAAAATGCATTATAGAAGATAGTGTCATCTTTTTTTTAAACTCGTGGAGATAATTCCCTTAGGAATCTCCAGAGAAAGTTCTAAATATTTCTTTTTATCACCATACATTAATTTGTGCATATATTGTATCCTAGTATTAGGTAATCCCTTCAGTAAGCCTTTTATCTTTTGAGATCCAACACACATTAGAAAAGTATGCAAAACAGGGGCACCTGTGTGGCTGTTTGTTAAGCATCTGCTCAGGTCATAATCCTGGGGTCCTGGGATCAAGTCTCACATCTGGCTCCCAGCTCAACAGGCCATCTGCTTCTCCCTCTCCCTAGGTCACTTCCCCTGCTTGTGCCTGCTCTCTCTCTCAAATAAATAAATAAAATATAAAAAAAAAAAAAAAAGAAAAAGTATGAAAAACAAAAAAAGTACAACCCATGTAACCACAATCCAGGTCAAGAAATAAAATGTTACCAATACCCCCAGACACCCCCATCATGCCCTTCCCAATCACTGTACCTTCTCTCCCCACCCCTAGAGTTAACCACAATTTTGACTTTTACATCAATCCCTTTCTTGCTTGATTTACAGTTTTACCACCTATTCATGCATTTGAAATACTGTGGTTTAGTTCTCTCTGGTCTTTGGGTTTTAGCTTGGGGTTTTTCTGTGGTTGCTTTCTTTGAAATTGACATAAATGGAGTTAATACAGCCGAGTGTCATTTTAGGTTCAACATTTTTCGCTCAAGTCATGTCTGTAAATGTAGTTCTAATTAGTTTTCATTGCTGTGGAGTGTGTATAGTATCACTGCTATATTATATGATCTCACCCAAAATTATTTATCCATTCTGCTCTCTGGGGCTCTTGGGAACAAAGCTGCTATGGACATTCTTTTGTATGTCTTTTGATAAACATTGCACATATTTCTGATAGGTATATACTGGTCATAAGTTATGTGTATTTTTTTAACATTTTTAAAAACCATATTGCTTTAGCACCGGAGGGCCCATGCACGTTCCCATTGCTCTGTGTCCTAGCCACATGATTGTTTCAGCCTGTCTGTTGTGTAAGGATACCTACATACCTGCATTTCCATTTCCCTCATTACTAATAAAGTTGAACAACATTTCATATATTTATTGGATATTCTGTAAAGTTGCTGGTTCAAGTGTCCGGCACTTTTTATATTGTGTTGTCTTTTCCTTATTTGATTTCTGAGTGTTCTTTACATATTCTGGATTTGAGCTGATTGCAGTATATGTGTTGTAGGCCTCTATCACACCCAGTTGTTTGGCTTTTCACCATCCTAAAGATTCTGCTGAATCTCAGAAATTCTTAATTTTAATGTTTTCAGATTCACCAAGCTTTTCTTTTCTTTTTAAGATTTTATTTATTTATTTGACAGACAGAGATCACAAGTAGACAGAGAGGCAGGCAGAGAGAAAGGGGGAAGCAGGCTCCCCACTGAAGAGAGAGCCCGATGTAGGGCTTGATCCCAGGATGCTGGGATCATGACCTGAGCCGAAGGCAGAGGCTTTAACCCAGTGAGTCACCCAGGTACCCCACCAAGGTTTCCTTTATGATTAATACTTTTCTGTCCCTTTTAGGAAGTCTTTCCCTACCCTAAGATCATGAATATAATTCCCAGTGTTAACCTATGAATTTATCATTTTGCTTTTTATATTTAAATTCAGAATTGACTTTGGTATGTTTTGAGGTAAGGGGTTGATTTTCATTTATTTCTGGATGGACAACCAATTGTCTTACCATTATTCATTAAAAAGAAAATCCTTTCCCCACTGCTTTGTGGTTCCACCCTTGTTGTAAATTAAGTGTCTGTTACACCTAGGTTAATTTGTGGACTTTCTATTCTGTTACTGTATTTTACGTTGTTTCTGTCACATTGTCTTAAATAATGTAACTTTGTGATAAATTTTGATAATAAGTAGAACAGGGCATTCTATTGTGTTTTTTTTTATTTCATTTTATTTTATTGTGGTAAGAACATTGAACATGATATCTATTCTTTAACAAATGTCTAAGTGTAAAATACAATATTATTAATTACAGGCACACACTGTACAGCAGATCTCTAGAACTTATTCATCTTATATAACTGTAACCATATACTCCTTGAACAGCAACTCCCCATTTTCCCCTACCCCCACCCTTTGGCAGCCAACATTCTCTCTCTGCTTCTGGGAGTGTGGCTATTTTAGACATCTCATATAAGTGGAATCATGCAGTATTTGTCTGTGCCTGGCTTATTTCACTCAGCATCACATCCTCCAGGTTCAACCATGTTGTTACATATGGCAGGATTTCCTTCTTTTTTAAGGCTGAATAGTACTGCGTTGTATGTATAGACCACAAGCACTTCGGGATTAGCCTGTCAGGCTCCACAGAGAAACCCTTTGAGATTTCGACTGTTACTGCATTTAATCCTTGGACCAGTTTGGAGAGAATGTTACAAAATTGGGCTTTCTGATACATTACCATAGTATATCTGTGTAGCACTTCTCAGTTTACCTCTATTCATAGTTTTCTATGTAGAGACCTCAGGTATCATTTGTACATTTATTCCTAGATATTTGATATCTTATGCTCTAATAAATGCTAATTTAATTTTTTTTTTTTTTTCAGTTTTTATTTTAAGTTGGCTCCACACCCAGCACGGGGCTTGAACTCATGACCCTGAGACCTGGAATCATACACTCTATCAACTAAGCCAGCCAGACACCCCTAAATGCTGTTTTTGAATAAATTTTATTTTCAGATTTATTGCTGATGTATAGCAATGTATGGACTTAAAAGTTTTACCTTTGTATGCAATTGTAATTCATCTGAGGACTTGTTTAGATTTCTTTTGTACCTAATTACATAACCTACACATAAGTACAGTTTTATCCCTTCCCTTCCAAATCATTATATATTTTATTTTATTTTATTTT